CCTGTTACGACCGCAATACCCCGACCCTCTCCCGTGTCTCTGGTCCCCTCAACCACCCCCATGGGTGGTTCCTTGGGAGATGACGTTGTACTTCTACCTCTTATGGAAGTCTTGCTTTCTCCCTCCACCAGAAATAATGGCGGGATCTCACCATACTTTTCTTCAAGTCATATTATCCCACTTTTAGGAAAGATTATGCAGTACTTTCACTAGACCCTTAGTGGTTTATCTAGGCCCCTTTCAGTCAGGATTCAGACCTGCATTGTGGGACAGAAAAGACACTGGTTGCATATTTAGATGACCTTTGGAAGCAACAGAATGGAGGTAGTGCATCCATCCTTGCTCTTCTTGATTTCTTGATGGTCTTCAACCACATCACCCATGCTATCCTTCTGTGTCACCTAAGTGTTATGAGAATGAGAAGCCCTGTATTTTGCAAGTTCCTTTCACTTCAACAGAGCAGATACCTGTAGGTGTTGATTGGGAGTCCCAGGCCCCATACCTGAGCCCTTTATATGGGTGCCATAGTATTTGGTGCTTTCTCCTCTCCTCTTTAACATGTAAAATAAGCCATTGGGTGAGATCATCCACCTATGTGAGGTGAAGTATTATCAGTGTGCTGAAGACACTCTACTCTACATCTCTGGACCTGGTGAACCAAGCAGTGCTGTTGATATCCTGACTTAGGACCTGGTGGCTTTGGGCTTCTGGGGGGGGGGGGAGAATCAGGCTTCAACTCAACCCTGAAAAACTAAGTGGATTTGGGGTTTTACCATCTATGGTATCAGATGAGCTTTTACTGTCTCAAACATGCTCAGTGCATAATCTGGGATCCTTTATAACACCTGATTTCTGCCCAAAGAATAGATGACAGTTGTAGCCAGGAGACCCTTTGTAGAGCTGTGTTTTGTGTGCCAGTTGTGCCCATTCCTGGTTCATGAGGATCTCTTCACAGTTATTCATGCCGTGGTCCCTTCCTGAATGTAATGCTGGCTTCCCAGGGCTGACCTTGAACAACATTTGGACTTTTGAACAGGTCCAAAATGCCCAGCCCACTTCACAGGGTTGTTGTTATTGTGGGGAAGATAGGAAGAATATGTATTGGATATCTTAGCACCTTGAGTTATTTCTGATAAATAATAATATTGGATTGTACAAAAACAAATGCATAAATAAATATCATATTTTTAAAAAATGAAAGGAATTTCCAGGACCCAGAAATGATCAAGATGTCAAATCTTCTTAGAAATACAACATCTGAATGCCTTTCAAAGTGTTGGTTTTATCCCTGAAAGCCCTGAATAATCTGGCACAGAGGAACCAGCAGTTCCAAAGACTTTTAGCCAAAACTGAACCATATGAAGGTGCTCAGACTTTGCTCCTCTGTTGCTGGCCCCATTTTGTCTGAGACAGATTTCCCTCAGAAATTGGATATGCTCCATGTTTCCCAGGCTATTTATAAATACATATTCTGGAACACATTTGTTGAAGTCTTCCTCTGAATTGTATTAGTCGTCTAATTATTTATACAGTAACTGAAGACTGATTTGTATTACAAACAAAGAAAGGAAGTATAATTAAAACTCTCCATATCTTCCTTGCAGATAGTTGTTTCTTCCACCAAACCCATATCCATTAAGATCTATTTCACATGATCATATTTATTAATAAAGAATGTTGTCTATTAAGTATATATACAGCAAAAAAAATGTAGCTCATTTAAACTGCAGAATTAAAATAGTAATTTGAATGAAAAATTTGGTAGGGAACTCAGCAAATCCTCAGGGAGCAATGCAAACAAACATGAATAAAAAAAACACAACATAGTGAAAACCACCCAATATATTTTGAAAGATACTTTTGATAAAGAGAGTGCGGGAACCCGTAGTTCACATTAGCATTTTCCTAGTTGTTTATAGGGCCTCACTGGGGTGAACTTAAATTAATGAAAAATAAAAGTGTGGCTAATTAATACATGTTCTGGGATTATTCACTTGATTTCCAATTATTTAATGAACTAGTCAATCTCTCATTTTACATTTTTTTTCAGAAATCAGATCAAAAAGAAAAATGCCCTGAAGGCAACATAAACATTTCAAATCTTTGCATAAATTAGAGATTCTTGTGCCTCATTATATTTTCTCTACAATTCAGATTGGGCCTCAGTAGGATAATGTAGCATTTGGGGAAAAAGATGCAAGCCAAGAGACCAGCCCCAGAGGCCAAGATGGAGAAGATCTCCACAGCCACCATGGACTTCCCTTTGGTGCTCAGGTAGGTGGGGAGGAAGCTGATCCAAACACTGCAAAAGACCAGCATGCTGAAAGTAATGAATTTGGCTTCGTTAAAGCTATCAGGCAATTTCCTTGCCAGGAAGGCCACTGTGAAACTCATGAAGGCCAAAAAGCCCAGGTAGGCAAGGACAGCATAAAACATTGAAGTTGAGCCTTCATTACATTCTAAGATGGCCTCTCCTACCAAGGAGTGGAAGTCGAAGTTGGGAAATGGGGGAGAGGTTACTAGCCAGATGGCACAAAGAACTGCTTGGACTAGGGGACAGGTCACAATAATGGAGCTGGTCAGTGGTTTTCCTAAGAATTTCCTTGTCTTACTCCCTGGTTTGGTGGCCATGAAGGCCAGAACCACCATGACAGTTTTTGCCAAGACAGAGGAAATTACAAAGGAAAAGAGAATGGCAAAGGTAATTTGTTGGATGAGACAGGTGAGCTTCCTGGGTCGTCCAATGAAGAAGAAGGAGCAGAGAAAGCAGAGCAGGAGGGAGACCAGGAGGATGTAGGAGAGATCTCGGTTGTTGGCCTTGACAATTGGTGTGTCGTGAGATTTAAGGAAAATTGCTAGGACTCCCAATGTGATCATGGAGAGGAAAAGAGCAAGAAAAACTAAAATGTATCCTAGGGGGTCTTGATAGGCAAGGAAGTGTATCTTCTTGTCAATGCAGTGGTCCTTCTCCATGTTGGGATATTGGTCTTCTGAGCAGGGATCGCAGCTTGTAGAATCTGAAATCAAGAATTCTTTGCATGTCATGGAATATCAGAAACATCCTTCAGTATTGATTATCCTATTGGTTAGCCTGGGACAAGAATGTTTTCAGCTCTTTGGGTTTAGTTTTCTGCTTTGTATTTTGCATCCAGTTATTCAGACTATTTATTTATTTATTTTGCATGGAAGGGCAGGCAGCTATAACTAGGTGGTTCTCCCCCTTCTCTAACAGGTCTGTCAATCTCTTGTGACAGAAAAACACACCCTAAATAATGAAAATCAAAGCTTCAACCTCAAGCCCACTGCTTCATGAAAAGTTTGGTCTCTGGTTTTCCTGGATGTAGTTCAGAGGTGGGTTGCTCCAGGTTCGGCCCAGTTCAGGTGAATCAGTAGTGGCAGTGGTGGGAGGCTCGGTGAGACCTGCCCGGATGCTTCTGCGCATGCGAAGAAGTGTTGCGCATGTGAGCACGAACAAACCAATAGCGCCAGGATTTGCAACCCACCTCTGATGTAGTTGGATGTAACAGCAGGACTAAAAAGTCTAGTAGGAAACTCATGAATTGTGACCTGAAAGAAGTACCTGGCATTAAATTGCTGAGGAGAAAGAAAGATGACTGTGGGGGAGTGGGGGGGGGCAGTTTAGATCCACAAACCAAGTTTTTGCTGAAAAGCCTGAATATTTTGAGGAATGTCTATCAAAAATGCCAGCACAATTGAGGTCCTGCTGAAAAGAATGAATGTTTTGAAAAATGTCAATCTACTAAATAAGTGCATGGTTGTTTTACTGAATGGCTTCCTTGACCCTGGAAGATCTCCAATTGAAATGTGCTCTACCTGTCTGATTAGAAATGGTCCCTTCTGGACAAGGGTCACATTGGTAGCAGCAAACCTGCTTTCCTTCTGGAACTCTTCTCCTCTCTCCTGCCTGGCACCTCTTCATGCCACACCTGGCAAAGGGCACCTTCTACAAGAGAAAAAGGGAAATTGTTTAGCTGCCACAAGCAATGAATATGCTTATTCTTTGGAATATTTCTCTTGACATCAGTAGAATATCTTCAAAAATATGGTTAATTCAAGTGTAGCAGAAACCAGGAAAAGCTCCCGGGGGATTAAGGCCAGTGCCATTCTAAACCAACAATGGATTCTGGGGTTTGGAACTGGGGCTTGGCGTGCAAAAGAAAGGTCATGAATTGAACTATAGCTTTTCTGAAGGAAATAGTGATGAAGATCCAGCTGAAGGGGAATGGTCTATGGAAACCACTCCTGGCTGCTCCATCTGCATCCTGGGTTTCAAGCAGAATTTCCTCCTGATCTCCACCCTTTTTGATCTGTCAGAAATCAGACCTCAAATATGTTACATGCAAAACAGCTTTTTCATTAAAGAGTTGCCAATTTTTTTAATTCCGTAACCTGTTTTCCAGCAAGGGAGATGTTTTGAATCCCCCAGAAGAGAATGGCTTTTTTTTTTACTGGATTTATTTTATCTTCTATCTCACCTTTCTTGCCCAGACAATTGCATCAGAGTTAATGGTGAAATCCTGTCCTGCAGCAGCCCCAAGATGTATTTGTCCAACTTTTACAGGGACAAAAGATTCATTGGGAAGGAGAACCCAGTTGAGAAGATCATAACGAGCAGATCCCAGTCCATCTTCTCTGAAGTAGATTTCATCTCCAGCACTGTTGTTGAAGTGGACATTCCTCAAATAGGGAAGAAGCTGAATGAAAAGAGACCTTCAGAAATTGCTAACACTTTCCCACACCTCTAAGAATTTGTTTTCTCATAGTGCCTGCCCTGATTTGTGTCTTCATTGGACATAGAGATCCATTGATATATTTCAGGCCACATTGGGCCCTGGATTGCATCACACAAGAGCTGGAAAGAATATATTCAGAAAACAACTGGCTCATCTTATTAGAAGGAATTTAAAGTAAAATTGGGTGGGAAAGGGAGAAATTTTCATGACCTTTATAACTTAATTCCAAGCAAAAGCCACTAGATAACCAATCATATAAGGATGTAGGGAGTAAAGAGAGGGGAGAAAAAAGAAAAACAGTGTGAACTTAAAATACTAGTACATGAGGGCAAGTGTAATAGAGTTGCCATTATTGAAACTTGGTGGGATAAAGTGACAGAATGTACTGATGGACGGATACAAACTACTCAAAAGAAACTGGCCTAACAAAAGAGGAAGTGGAGTTGCATTATATGTTAGAGATCACTTCTTTCTGTACAGACATTCACAAAGCCAAGGATGAAAACCTTCTAGAATGCTTATGGGTCAACATAAAAGGGAAAAAAAGAATGACATTGCTATAGGCATATATTACAGGCCATCAAACACAACACAATCAAATCAATGTTTTAGACTTTAGAAGAGCTGATTTTAACAAACTCAGAGAGATCTTAAGAAAGATCTCATGGATGAAAATCCTAAAGGGCAAATCAACTCAAGAAGCATGGGAAGCTCTGAAAAAAAAACCTGGGTAAATTTCCTGTCTAGTCCAATACCACTAAAAAAGAAAAACAAGAAATCCAAGGAAGTCTAGCATTGTTGCACAAAGAACTCTCAGACTAATTGAAGAAAAAAAAGGACAAGTACAGAAAATGGAAAGAGGGTCGCATAATTAAGGCAGAATACCAACAAATAGCTCGAACCTGCAAAGATGAAGTTGGGAAAGCTCAGGCTTTGAACAAACTAACACTTGCAACAGATGTCAAAAACAATTTAAAAAGGTTTCTTTCAACACATAAAAAAACAAAAAAACTCAAAGAAACGATTGGTCCACTGAAGGGAGATGTCAAAGAGGTAACAAGCAGGAGGGAGAAAGTAGAAGCCAGTTCTGGCTCGCCTTCCTCTCTGCCACTAGCCACAAGAGGAAGACAAAAGCAGACAGGATTGGGGGTCATAACCAGCTGGGCTGTAAAGCTTTCTGGTGCCTGGTCAGCCCCTGCCCAATGGAAGCCACGGCAGGCGAGGTGCCTCCTCCCCAGGTCCCCATCTCTTTTTTCCACCGACAGCCATACAAATCTAGGCAAAAAGCCAGTCATGCAAGGAGTAGCTGGGAGGAGAGGTGGGGCCAGCCAATGGTGGGATCAGCCGGTTTGCCAAACTGCAGAAAAAGTTACCTACCAGTTCATATGTGAACTGGTAAAAACCGGCTGAATCCCACCACTGGATCCAGGAAATTACAGACAATCAACCTGACATCAATACCTGGGAAAATCTTGGAAAAGATAATCAAGCAACAAATGTGAAAATATTTAGAACAGACAAGATTATAAAAAGAAGCCAACATGGATTCATCAAAAAGAGATCATGCCGAACAAATTCTATTCTAAGGATCTGTGGACTGGTTTAAAAATAAAAAAGAGATTACCTGCCATGACTGAAATTCTGAGATCCGCATTACAAGTCTCATTAGTGTTCCTGGTCGATGGATTGCATGTAATGAGTGTGCCACAGCATAAATGGCATTGTAGATATTGTAACTTTCACCTGTCATGCTTGCTTCAAACACATAAGACGGCAGATTCTGTAAATTCTCCTTCCCTGTACATGTTTCCCCCCCCTTTGGAGAGGTCCTGCCTGGTTTGTGAATCTTGCAGCCAAAGACCAATTCCCACCACAGTGGGAGAAAAATATCCCCTTGTGGGTTCAAAGGGTCTAAAGACAGGACAAAATGGCTGAATTCTGAGACATCCTTTGTGTGATCCCTAAAATGCAAAGCCCCATGGAAGGGCTTTATAACATGCAATATATATTGAGAATTCATCACATTAAGTTTCCAGTTGGATGTAAAGATCCAAACTTTGAGAAATGATGTATTTCCTCGTGTTTCATAAGCAAACACAACTATCTGTACATTTGTAATAGTACTGGTGTCTCCATACAAAATAATCACTTCACCTTTTGACCAAGTGTTGATAATATGATTTAATTTTGTATATGGAACAGCAGAAAAATCAAATTTCATTATTTCCTTGAAGGCCAGGCAGATCTCCTTCTCCTTGAGCATTGGCACCAGAGATGAGACGAAACGTTCTCCATCATCATTTTCGGGGGCCATAAGCCCAACCCAGTTCCACTGGAAATACAGGAGCAGCTGGACTAAACTTATATACTGAGGAGATTCCTTGGGATTAATCCGGAAGAAGGAAGGATAAACTTTTCTGTCTCCCTGAGAGAACTCAAAGCCAACACCTAGCTGGAGAAAGTGAGAATCCTCTTTAAGAGACAAAGTACAGATTAATGCTGACTTTAAGGATCCCCATGTGTGGTTGATTGCCCCAGCAGTCAGGCTGACTTATTGTGAATGGCAGGCTTCACCTTCTTCCCTTCTTAGGAAGAGCCAGCACTTGCCTAATTTGTCTGGTTGTGATAGATCAGAAGTCAAAGGAACAAATCTTCAACCTGATGCAGAGAATAAGATGCAATGAAAGATGCAGAAAGGTGATAAACGTCTATGAAAGTTAGGAAGAAATTTGTTTTTCAGAATTATATCAATATCTGTTTGTTGTTATATAGAAATGTATCCTGACATATAAAATACATAAATCAATTCAACTATAGGATGGATGATCAAAGTCATAAAACCTTGGTGTATGTCTCCTCCCAACACCTTTGTTTTCATTGTTAGCTTCTATCTGTGTTTCTGTTATTAGTGTGTTCCATATTGTATCCAGTGCTTACCTGAGGGACCTTAAAGATGCTGAAGATTGAAGTCATCTGCCTTGAGGATTTGGGGCTGTCACCCCCAATGACAGAGAGAAGAGGGTCCTGCTTGTCACATTTATAACCTGGAATCATTCGAACTCGTGTAGAGAGCAGGGAGAGGCTGATTGCAGAAATCCGCCACTCTGTTTGGTAATTGTTGTGAATGTGGAAGCCAAGGGTGATGTTGGGGAGGAGGACCAGATCCTTGTTGACTTCTTTCACTGCAAACATCAAGGCCAGGAACTGCTGGAAGTTCTTGGGTATGAGTCTATAGTGGGGGGAAAACAGGGGAATGATGCAAGGAAACCCGTATCTGCAGATGGAGTTTACCTTGTCATATTTTTTAGTTAGTTTGCAACAGCAAGTCCCAAGTTTCATTGACTTGTTTAAATAAATATTCATTGATTAAACTTCTATGAGTTATTTAGATAGGAGAAAGGCTCTGTCACAATATCATGGACCATTTTATATGATTCTATCATCCTTCCCTTGTTCATACGTCTATGAAGATTTTCAATCACCCAAGACATAGTTGTATCAAAAATGGCTTTTATTTTGAGGAAAAAACAAGACATTTGCTTCCTATCTTCAAAGCTTCATCAGTTGAATTGGATGTATGTGATGGGAGATGGAAGGACAGCTATTGACAGTTGAGATTAATTGGTGGGAGCGGGGAGTGATAGTTTTTGACAGGAGGGGAAGGATGGAAAGATTGTGTCCTCTTTGAAATCAACTGGTCTTAATGCGCTCTGGGAGAGCATTGTGGTTCCTTGGGAATTTTACCTGTGACCTCAGGGTCACCTGAATCAGAGGTATGGAATTTTCTTTGAACAGCAAAAAGGACTGCATCATAAATTGGGGATAGGTGGTGTCTTATCCCTCCCCCTCTGTTGAGGGAGGTCTGATCAGTTCTGATATAGATAGCCCCTTTTACCACTCTTCCAAACCAATGGTCCTCTCTATCCAAAAGGTGGACTTTGCTGTCTTCAAAAGCGTGATCCCTATCTTTCAAATGCAGATCGACCACTGAATCTGGTCTTGATGGCTTAGATCTCTTTTTTTATGCCATGCGCTTGTGAAGTGGTTGTTTTGTTTCCCCAATGTACAGATCTACCCATGACTCACTGCATCATATTTTATATACCACCTTGCGCAGTTTGTGTCTGAGTGTTTTATCCTTGGGGTGGACAGGTTTCTGCCTTAGTGTATTCTTGGGCTTAAAAGGTAAAAATAGGTGATGTTGGTTGAAAATCTTCTTGAGCTTTTCAGATATTCCAGCAACCTATGGAATGGGAACATTGCTTCGCTTGTTACTCTCTCCCTTGTCTGTAGTAGAGGAGGTCATGCTGTGTCATTTTTGGGATTTGATGAAGGCCCAGCTAGGATAGCCACAGCCACAGAGGGATTCCTTGATGTGTTTTAGTTCTTTTTTCCCCTTCTCTACTGGTAGGCAAACTTTCAGCCTGGTGTCTAGGGTTCTGATCACTCCCAATACGTCTTGTTTTTTCCTCAAAAAATCAGCCCAGTTGCCTTTTCAAAATAAAAACTCCTTCTTCACTTTGCTCCAGTAACTAGAATAGTCCCCAATTGCTTCTCTTCCATCATAATCAATTTGAGTATCTCTTGGAGCAGCTTCTTCAGGTCTGGTCACCATTGCTGAGCATAAGACTCCAGTGTGTGTGTGTGTATTGGGGGGGGGGGAGTCACAGCACAGATGGAGTGAAGGCCATTATACATGAGAATTGCTGATTCCAAAACTTTGGAAAATTTTAGCATCCCCACCTGTGGAAAAGGACTGAGCTTTCTGGGGGTTTTCAATCATGAATTTATGTCCAAATAAACATTTTAAGTGAGCATCTTTGTTAGGCCAGCAGAGTCTCAAAGGTGTTGTCCCTCCCCACTTTCATTTCGTTTATAATCATCCAGAGGAAGACTTTTGCAAATACTGGGAATTCTAGTCTATTTCTGGAGTTTGGCTCCTTATTGAGAAAAGGACAAAAATCTGAACTACAAAAGGACTTTGCAAACATCACTAGAAAATTATTTCTAAAAGGAGTTTCTGAATCCAAAACAAAGAAAACAATATCTATATTTTCCCATCCATGTGAAACTTACGAGAGATTATAAATAAGCACTAATGGGTCATTTTGAAAATCTGGGAGGCTGGAAAGCATAAGAGCTGCCAAAGGTAAATTCCCACCAATAATGAGATCACCAGGCCTGTAATATTCCCATTGATTCTGAAAGTTTAAACCTTTTTGTGATGCACATACGGTTTGGATCTTCTTAGCAGTGTTTGGAGGCAGGAGCCAGAAGAGCAGCAACAGCAAGAGAGGCAGCCCAGCCATTCTTCTCACCTTCCCTCCTAGATCAGAAATCAAGGTTTGTGGGAAGCAGAATTGCAGGCAGCACTTGAAACCTCAGCAGATTTACATAGTTGAGATTGCCTTGCCAGTTGGCTGGGCCCAAGGCAAATTTATCTGAAGTCCTTTCGTATTAACAAATTTGCATTTTATCACTTTATTTGCTCCTTTCTAGCCTATTCTGAAGTTAGACTATGTGCTATATTTTATTTGAATTTAACCATAAAGTCACAAGATTAATCAATCAATAAAATAGCATTGTATCAATCATGCCTTCTCTTATCTGTGTTTTGGCTTTGACACAAAGATCAGCTGAGTCTCACCAAACCCCAGAGTTATCTCTTTGGAAGACCAGGCGAGGTCCCATCAATGCGAGAACCCAGAGCATATTTTTGAAAGCAGGTTTTACCTTGGAAGATTCTTGTGGGTTGAAATCCACAGGGGATACCTTAAGAATTGCTGTTCTTCTGATAATTGTAGGGAAAAACAATTGTTCTACACACTGAGCAATAGATGTTATTTGCACATTAGATAGTTAAAACATGTTTGTGTCTCTTGTTGCTAATCCACAGAGCAGATGGACTTGAGAGTTGAGGTTTTGATCTACCTGAATGTGAACATCTGTGCAAAAGATGGAGTTTGGCCTGTGTCATAGTATGTTCAGAAAGAATGGGTGCTAATGGGTCACAATGGCAGTCAGTTGTATCCCAAGAAGTGCAAGCAATCATGTCACTATTTAGATGGAATAACTGGTTGATTTACTCCCACAAGACAAGAGATGGAAATGATTGACTGATCAAATTTATATGGTCACTCATCTCATGCAGCATACAACAATTCAGTAAAAACTATAAAGAAAACAATCATTGCTTTAAACCTTTATACAATATTTATTTTAAAAGAATTAGAAATTATCTGAGCCAGATTAAAACCAGAAAAGAGAATAATAGAGGGGAATGTTAATAATAATAGAAATCTCAAGTCTGCTGTGATGAGACCAACCAATGCAACCCAACAAGCAGAGTTATAATGTGCCCTACCAGAAACACGCATAACAGTTCTCGCTACTTCATTTTGCACCAGATGAAGTTTATGGATGCCCTTTAAGGGCAGCTCCTTATAGAAGGCATTGCAATAGTCTAACCAAGAGATGACTAGGGCATCCTTCATCCAGGAGTGGGTGCAACTGGCATGTAAACAAAGTTGTGAAAAGCAACTCCTAACCACAAAGGTCATCTAACCCTCAAATGGGAGTTGTGAATCGAAAAAGATCCCATATTTCTCACAGGGTTTGTTTGGGGTAATGCAGCTCAACCCAGCATCATAGATGGTGGACTCTTCGAACAAGAGGACTCCAAAACCCAAAGCCTCTCAATCTCACTGGAGTTCAATTGAAGCTTGTTTTTCCCCATGCAGACACTCATAGCCTCCAGATAGAAGGATAGAACATGCACAGCCTACTTAATTTACCAGAAGCACCAATGTTCAATTGGGTGTCATCAGCATATTGTGGATACCTCACCACATGGAGATGGATGAGTTTGCCCTGGGGTCTCATACAGGTGTGGAATAGGAGATGAGACAGCACTGACCCCTTTGGCACCTCCCATAAAGAAGGTCCAGGGTGTGATCTCTCTTCCACAATCACCATTGAGTCTAATAAGACAAGGATGGGCACAGTATCTTAGCTGTTCCTGGCACTTCAATCTTCTGGACCCAGAGCTCAGATATTATTCCTGGGATCTACTGGAGGCCCTCTACCAGTTTAAGAGTCACAGCCCAAAATGTCCCTATCACTAGGACCACTTTGGCCTTGATTTTCCACATCATCTCCAGTTCCTCCTTTAGACCCTGGACCTTTTCCAGTGTCCCATTCTCCTTTTCCCTGATCTTGTTGTCATTTAACACCGCTGTATCTATCCACATCCCTGTCTTCTTCTCTACGACCTCTTTGTCTGGTTCATTGGGCAGGACCTGCCTGTTTGCTTTGATCTGGAAGTCCCAAAGGATCTTAGCCCTGTTCTCCAAAACCTGGTGTGGAATATCACAACTGGGCTTTGGGAGGTCTAGCTCATACACTGTGCACTTGGTCCTCTTTCAACTACTTGGTGGTGTCATTCAGTGTATGTTGTCCCTGTTCGCATCTTATAACCTGGCACATATATTGGATTATCTCTGAGGCTGGATGCAATATTTAGGTGTGGTCTAACCAATATATAATATGGACTAGAGGAGACAGCAGTGTTCCAATATCTCAGAGGTTGCCACATAGAAGACGAAGTCAAAGTATTCTCCAATGGACCTGAGGGTAGAACAAGAAGCAATGGGTGGAGACTAATCAAGGAGAGAAACAACTTAGAACTGAGGAGAGATTTCCTGACTGTTAGAGCAATTAATCAGTAGAACAACTTGCCTCCAGAAGTTGTAAATGCTCCAACATTGGAAGTTTTTAAGATGATATTGGATAACTATTTGTCTGAAGTGATGTAGGATTTCCTGCCTAGGCAGGGGGTTGAACTAAAAGACCTCCAAGTTCCTTTCCAACTCTGTTATTCTATTCATGGTGAAGCCATGATTCCTCTTATTTTTAACATTCTATGTCTGTTAACACAGCAAGATTTTTTTTGGGGGGTGGGGGATGTTAAGCTACATCAACAGTTACAGAGGATCAGCAACAAGGTACTCATGTCAGCTCACTTTCGGCTTGGGCTTCATGAAGACCTACAGATCTTTCTCGCATATGCTGCTGGCCAGGATACTCTCTTCTATCCTTAACAGATGCAATTTCCTACACATTGAATTGTTGAATTGATTTGGTTGGATTTTGATTACTAATCCAGCTAGTTGAGATCTTTGAATCCCAACCATGGGAACTTTAAGATATGTGAACTCCCAGATCTTCCTAGTCAGCAAGCTGGATGGAGAATTCTGGGAGCTGAAGTTCACCTTTGCCACAGTTGCCAAAGTTGAGAAATCTTTCTCTAAGATTGTCATGCCCCCATCAGAGTCTGAATCCGAGGGGGAAGATGAACAGCTGACAGAGAGCAAGATAGTGGCTCTATTGGCTGTGGAAGACACTGGGGAAGGGCAAAATCAGGCTGGGCAGAGCAGAGGTAGAACAAGGGAGAGGGGGTTCAGATGAAGACCAAAGCCCACCCCTCCTCATCCTAGGGCATGCAGGGAAGAACGGAGAAGAGAGCAATGGGGGTTGTGTGGCTTACAAGGGAGGAAATGGTGTTAATAAAGGGACTTATATCAGTTCTCTTGCTGTGTTGCCTTTGTGCCACACTCTGGGTCATCACAAAGATGTTATTTTCTTCCCATAATTTTTTGCTAACTGAAACTATAATAAAGATGTATTTTAATTTATCATCCCAGTAATTTTTAATATGTTTAAAAGCACAGGGTCTAGGATGAAATCTTCAACATTGAAGTCTGATTCTAGCTACAAGTATATACCATTTCAGTACATTTATTCAAATAGCTCATAATTCATCCCCCATTTTGCTCTCTTCTATACTGGGATCCCATGGAAGATGTTGCCAAATGCTTAAATGAAGTCAAGATGCCCTATGTTCATTGCATTCCCATGGTCAAGTCAACTGGTCATTTTATCCTCCTCAAAGAAAAGGGGGAGTTCAAATTGGTTTTGTTAACTTACTCAAAGATTTCTGCCAGCTCCCATCATGCATTGCTTTACTTTGTAAATTGCTGCTGCCCAAGAACAAAAACATAAAACAAATTATGAGAAAGGGTATATTATACTTTACATTATATATTTAAATCTCAAATGTAAATAAAAGGTTCACATAGGAACAAAAAATGGTACATATTTTGGCTGATTATTTGGTTTATTATAAAGTTGATCTTTGGATCTTTGGGACAATGGGCATTAATGAAAAAAGTAGGTGATTGTTGCAGATTAACAGACATTCTGCGATTACTCAAATCACTTGATTCCCAATCGTTTAAGGGATGCCTCTCATTTCCTATTATTTTAAGAAAGAAAATCAAACTGAAAATGTCCAAAATCAAAATAAAATCTCCCAATCCCTGCATAAATGGGAATGGGATGAGGCATTTTAATGGGTTTTTATGTTGTGATTTTTAATGTTGTAATCCAGCCCTCTATAAGGTGGGTGGAAAATATAAATAAATATTTATAATCAGAGATTATAACCAGATATTCTTTTGCCTCATTATATTCTCTCTACAATTGAGATTAGGTTTAAATAGGATAATGTAGCATTTAGGGGAAAAGATGCAAGCCAAGAGACCAGCCCCAGAGGCCAAGATGGAGAAGATCTCCACAGCCACCATGGACTTCCCTTTGGTGCTCAAATAGGTGGGCAGGAAGGTGATCCAAACACTGCAAAAGACCAGCATGCTGAAAGTAATGAACTTGGCTTCATTAAAACTGTCAGGCAATTTCCTAGCCAGAAAGGCCACCATGAAACTGACGAAGGCCAGGAAACCGAGATAGGCAAGGACAGCATAAAAAATTGAAGCTGATCCTTCATTACATTCCATGATAGTCTCTCCTACCAAGGAGTGAAAGTCCAAGTTGAGAAATGGAGGAGAGGTGGTCAGCCAGATGGCACAAATAACTGCTTGGACCAGGGGACAGGCTAAGACAATGGAGTTGGTCAGTGGTTTTCCTAAGAGTTTCCTTGTCTTGTTCCCTGGTTTTGTAGCCATGAAGGCTAGAACCACCATGACAGTTTTTGCCAAGACAGAAGAGACTGCAAGGGAAAAGAGAATGGCAAAGGCAGTTTGTTGGAAGAGACAGGTGAACTTTCCAGGTCGACCAATGAAGAGGAAGGAGCAGAGGAAGCAGAGTATGAGGGAGATGAGGAGGAGATAGGTGAGATCTTGATTGTTGGCCTTGACAATTGGTGTGTCATGATGTTTAAGGAAAATCACCAGGACTACAGATGTGGTTACAGAGAGGAAAAGAGTGAGAGAAGTTAAAACGTATCCCAGGGTGTCTTGATATGAAAGAAAGTGGATCTTCTTGGCAATGCAGAGGTCCTTGTCCTTGCTCGGATATTGGTCCTCTGGGCAGGCATCACAATGAGCTGCATCTAAAATCAAGAGGGTGTGGATTTTATGGTGTATCAACAAAGGCAAACCTTTCATCCATAAAGATGATGCTGAGAATAAGTTAGCCAGAAAAATAGATCTGTTCTCTGGCTCAACATCTCTGCTTTATGCTTCAAATCTACTCATTCAAAGTTTTTTTCATTTAGGGAAGGGTCAACAGACATAGATTGATGGATCTGCTTTATCTCCATTAGGTCTAAAAGTTCCTGGGAGATCGAGTGTTTTGATAGAAGAAGCAGGTCCTTAATAAAAATTAAAGCTTGAATCTCACATCCCATTCTTTCACAAAAAGATTGGTAGCTGGTTTTCATGGTGGGATGTAAAAGCAGGAATAGATATTCTATATAGGAAGCCTATAAAGTTTGCCCTGAAACAATCCCTTATTAAATTGCTGATGGGCAAGAGAAGTGGCCTGTGAGGTAATACATTTTTAATTCATGAATTCTGCTGAAAAGTATGAATATATTGAAGCAAATAAAGCATCCTACCAAAACTGGTGGCAAAATTAATATTTTCTGATTGAATGACTTCCTGGAAGATCTATCTTAATGCCATACCTGTCTGATTTGAGATGGTTCCTTCTGGACAAGGGCCACACTGGTAGCAGCAAACCTGCTCACCCTCTGGAACGCTTCTCCTCTCTCCTGCCTGGCACCTCTTCATGCCACACCTGGCAAAGGGCACCTTCTAAAAGAGTAAACAGGGGTAGTGTAGGTGGCCTCAGCAATGAATATTTTTAATTTATCCATTTCTACATTTCACGTTCCATTTTTAGAATGTCTTCAAAAGAAATGGTTTAGCAGAGACCAGGATTAAGTTCCGGGGGGAGTCAGGCCAGTGTAATCCTGACCCACCAATGGGAGACTTCAATTACCCTGACATCTATTGGAAGACTAATTCTGCACCAAGTGAGAAATTGAATAGGTTCCTGACCAACCTAGCTTACAAATTTGTTGTCCAAAAGGTAGAGGAGGGAAGTAGAGGGACAGTCATACTGGACTTAATTCTTACAAACAGAGAAGAAGTGATAGAGTTGAAACTGCAAAAGCCTTGGGTGAGTGTGACCATGTCATACTAGAATTCAACAAAACACAAACACAAGCAATAGAATATAATGTTACCAGAGTTTTAGATTTCAAAAGAGCTGATTTTAACTATCCCAGAGAAAACATTGGAAAGATTCCTCGTATGAAAGTCCTAAAAGGAAAAACAACTTAAGAAGCTTGGGAAACTCTGAAAAATATGATCATAAAAGCCCAGTCCAGTGCAATACCACTGAGAAAGAAAAACAAGAAATCCAAGAAGAAACAAATATGACTGCACAAAGATCACTTCTCTTGAAAGACAAAAAGAGCAAGTACAAAAAATGGAAAGAGGGACATATTTCTAAGCCAGAATATCAGCAGACAGCCAGAATCTACAAAGACAAAGTCAGGAAAGCAAATGCTTAGAATAAACAAATACTTGCAACAAAAGACAAAGGTAATAAAAAAAATTCTTCCAACATATAAATAACAAGAAAAAAAAATCAAGGGAACAGTTGGTCCACTAAAGAGAGAAGATGGCAAGGAAGTAACAGGCAACAGAGAGAAAGCAAATCTGCTTAATTCATTTTTGCATCAGTCTTCACGCAAAAAGAAACTGTAGCCTAACCTACCAAAAACATAAGTTAGTATAGTAAGAGAACACCTGTCTGATACAAATCCCCGGGACCTGACAGATTACATCCCAGAGTTCTAAAGGAGCTGGCCGATGTCATCTCAGAACCACTGTACCACATCTTTCAGAAATTCTGGAGCACCGGGGAACTACCGGAGGACTGGAAAAGAGCTGATGTGGTTCCCATCTTCAAAATTGGGGGGGGGGGGGAAACAGATCCCAGAAACTACAGACCAATCAATCTAACATCAATACCCAGGAAGATACTGGAACAGATAATAAAAAACCAGATCTACCACATCTAGAAATGAGTAAAGTAATAACTAGCAGTCATCATGGCTTTGTTAAAAACAGATCATGTCAATCTTATTTCATTCTTCAACATAGTGACTAAATTAGTAGATCACTGAAATATTGTGGACATAATATACTTAGACTTCAGTAAGGCATTTGACAAAGTAGACCACAACCTATTTCTTGGTAAGCTAGAAAAAAGTGGGATAGATATTATCACCATCAGATGTATTTGTAACTGGCTGACAAACCTTACTCAACAAGTAGTCCTTAATGGTATTACATCTATATGGGGGAAAGTAAGCAGCGGGGTACCATAAGGTTCCATTCTAGGGCCAGTACTCTTCAATATCTTCATAAATGACTTAGATGATGGAATAGAAGGGGAACTTACCAAATTTGCAGATAATACTAAGCTGGAAGGAGTAGCTAACATCCTAGATAGACTCAAGATCCACATGGATCTTGGCAGACTTGAACCCTGGGCCCTATCTAACAAAATGAAATTGAATGTAGAGAAAAGTAAAGTCTTAACTTAGGCAAGAAAAACCAAAAGTACACATATAGACTGAGTGAAACCAGGCTTAATAGCAATAACTGTGAAAGGGATCTTGGATTTTTAAATATGAGACAGGAGTGTGCAGCAGCAGAGAGATACAATTAAGATCAATTGAGGTACTAATATCACTCTATAAAGCCTTCAGAAGTTGTGGGAGCTTCATCACTGGAGGCTTTGAAGAAGAGACTGGACTGCTATCTGTCAGAAATGATGTAAAGTCTCCATACATCATTCTTGCTTGAGGTCCTGGGTTTCAAGCAGGAGGTCTTCCCAATCTTACCCCATCTTGGACTTTTCAAAAGTCAAATCTCAAATGTGTTTAACTCAAAAGTAGATTTTCATCAAATCCCTTAATGTAACTGTTTCCCAGTGAAAAGGGTGGTATGCATCCCTGGAGTGAATGAATCCTTTGCTGAATTTATAACATTTCCTTTCAGCTTACCTTTGTGGCCCAGGTGATTGCATCAGAGTTAATGGTGAAATCTTGACCCAGAGAAGCCATGGAATATATTTGTCCAACTTTCGTAGGGAGAAAAGATAGATTGGGGAGGAGAAGCCAGTTGAGAAGATCATAACGAGAAGAAACCAATCCGCTTTCTGAGAAGGAGACTTCCTCTCCAGCACTGTTGTTGAACTGGATGTTCCTCAGATAGGGAAGAATCTGAAAGAAAAGACACCCAGATTAATTGGCTGAAAAGCACACTTGAGACATCCTGGTTTCTATCATAACATCATGGCCACCAGCCTAGGAGGTGGGTTTATATCTGAGAAGGTAAATGAATTCCCTTGAATTCATCAGAATTCAATCAGAAGTAACATCCAATATTCAACTCCATCTCCAAAATGGTGACATATTCTCTTTATCATTGGACATTTGATCATGGCTTCTTCAATTCCAGTCTTAGATGAATGATAGTTACATACATTTTAGTACCATATTCCACATTACATTGTGTAGTTTTGCTTGATATTCGGCAAGTTACATTTTTAATTTTATTTGCACTCCTAGTTTTGTAAATGACAAAATGTATTTAAGGAATGACTCAATAATTTTGGCAGATCCTTGGTGATCTCTGATCCTTTTTGTTTTTCTGCAGATGTTTTATGACCTAAACTAGGTATCACTGATAATGATTTCACTCCTCTTGAGCATTGATAATGCTACCTAGTTGGGTCATGAAATGTCTGCAAGAAAACAACCAAACTCAGAGAGCACCAAGGACCTTTCATTTCAACCCAGAGCTATAACATTATCTTTTATTGGTGAATACTTTCTAGCATAACATTATACAATTCCACTGTCTTTCTCTAGCTGATGGTCAAAGAGAACAGAATGAAGAAGTAGATCTGACCAAGAGGGGCCATGTGGAACATTTGTCCTGCCTTGGTTTGTCACTTCATGGGTCCAGAGAGGAATAATTGAGCCTTTGATGTTGACAAGCCTGAAGAATTTCAGATCAGGAACCTATCAGGACCATATATTGAATACAGAATAACAGTATTAGAAGGGACCTGCTCAGGCAGGAAACCCTACACCACCTCAGACAAATGGTTATCCAACTTCCTCTTTAAAAACTTCCAGTGTTGGAGCATTCAAAACTTCTGGAGGCAGGTTGTTCTACTGATTAATTGTTCTCACTGTCACAAAATTTCTCCTCACTTCTAAGTTGCTTCTCTCATTTCTTAGTTTTCAACCATTGCTATTGGCTCATATTTAAATGATTGCCCACTAGGATTCCAAGATCCCCCTCACAATTATTACTATTAAGCAAGGTTGCAAATATATTGTACCTGTACATTTTGTTTTACTTGCTTGAATGTAGAACCTTACATTTTTCACCATTGAATTTCATTTTGTTAGATAGCACCCAATATTCAAGCTTGTCAAGATCCTTCTGTATCTTAAGCCTATCTTCTGGAGTGTTGGCTATTCCTGCCAGCTTGGTGTCATCTGAAAATTTGATAAGTTTCCCATTTATCCCTCCCCATCCAAATCATTGAATGAAGATGTTGAAGAGTACTGGGCCTAAAACACAGCCTTGGGGTATTCCACTGCATACTTCCCTCCATGTAGATTGGAAAGTTTATTGGAAATTGGAAAGTTTATTTATAGGCCGCCCTTTTCCCTGGGGGGACTCAGGGTGGCTTACACTTCATGGGGAGGGGAATACAAACAGTGAGACATAAAACAATGCATAATTAAAAATAGAACACAACATTCATCATTCGGGTGGGGACGGATTACA